TTCAATTTCTATTTGTTGTGATATTTCCACCACTTTAGGCTCACCCTGACCTTTCGGGGGGTTGGGCATCTAACCAATCTATCCGCCTGCTAATGGAGGCTATAGTTTAGTTTTAGTTTTGACATTGAAATTTCACTGCCAGGGGCCTTTGTTCTTATTGTTCTGTTCTAAGTTTGTTTTGCTTTTTGTTTAGTTTTGGAAATGTATACATATATTCTTTGTCTTGGTTAAATGTAAATTGCTTCTGTGGGGGTTTTTGGTTAGGAAAGCAGGTGTAAATATAGCTATTCCAATAAATACAACGCATTTATGGGTTTTACGGTAAAAATAGCATTGCTAATGATTTATGGGATTTTTTGTAATTAAAGGAAATTAATTGTAGTCAGAGAAGTTAAAGTGGAAATTAGATTAGGAAAGTGTAATGATATTTACTAATTGGTGATTAAGTTTTACCTTAAATATATATTAAATTCTTCTCGAAATTTCACTTAATTCTTAAGAAATCTAAACATATTTCTAGAGCTTAACTTTTCAGCCTCATTTCCATTTAAAGACAATACCCTGTCATTGCAAAGGTCACAACCTTAGCTTAGGCAACCGCCATTGTGAAATTCCAAGAATCCGGATAAAGTTACTTAAATTTACATAAATATACATACAACACAGAAATAATAATGATAGCAGCTCCTTCTCGTTCAGTCAGAGATAATTTTAATGGAAATGAAAGTGAGTGGGTGGTTTGTTTTTTTCGGAAAACTCTGGTCAATATGTAAACGCTAATTCATCAATTTAATGGCAGGCCAGGGAATGGGGACAAGCCACACGCCAGAATGTAATCATTGGCGGGGAAAAGTATAGTGAAATAGGGAGTGGAAAATGGAAAAATCATGATATGAGTGTAAGGGTATGAACACTTCCAGGCAACGAACTCGCAGTCATTGACCCAGCAGGATGTCCCATCCAAGAGATTTATGACCGCAGCGCGAGTTGAACGAACCCAAGGAGCCAACAGGAAAGCAGGAAAAGCAGCAGTAGAAAGAGAACAAGGAGCAGGGACTAGGAGTAGATTACATAATGCTTCCGCCAGGACAACGTGGCGCCCGCACAAGCCCCAAAAAGTTGGGCAAGGAGAAGAGCGAACAGGAGGAGCGAGCGCGAGGCAGTTAACCTTGAAGTTGAGCAGGCGGCGAAAGATTGGGCTCAGCAGGGAGAGAGTGAGTGAGAGAGTTTGGGGGGACCAACAACAAACTGCGCAGCATCCAAAAATCTGAACCCAGTACCGCTGCCATTCCATGCCCCACCATCACCACCACCACCATCAGGATGCGGAAGCATCCACCCCAGGACACGTGTTGGAAGTGAGGTGAACCACACGGCCAGAACGGAAGCTGGAAAATGAGGCGACTTGGGTGGGCAGGCATCCGAATCGGAATCCACTCAAGTGCGCCAGAAGTTCAGGGCAAACACTTGACATTGAATCGATAATAAGTTCAAATTTCCAAAAATAATACTTGCCAAATGCGGGCGAACTTTTACCCAAGAGCTGAGAGCCAAGAAGGAGGCGAAAGCTAAGACCACATCCCATTGTCTTATGTAAATGTTTGTCTTGGTGCTTGGCTAACGATTCCTCCTGGCACCGAGTGTTATCCAACTGGAGAGAGTCCACAAAATGGCAGATTTATGGGTGAGCAACCCTTTAGCCAGAAATCGAAGTCTCGGATAATTTGACATTAATAAGGGGTTTGAGGGGAGTAATCACTTGGCCAAGTAAATTCACAAAAACAAAATCAAATCAAAAATACAAAAAAAATATAGCCCTAATAAGTCAAAAATATATAAAACATAGTCTTGTATGGTTTAAGAAAATATACAAAAATTAATTTAACCCTCAAAAAATACCAAACTTTCCTTTTGATATCACAAAAATTTCCCGCTAATAGCTAAGACCTAGTAAACTAACCCAAACTAGTTCGTGGCAGTTAAACCCTCTCCACCAAGGTTACGCCTGGTCAAGGTTGCGCTTTTCCTTTTGCGTGACAAGAAATTTGTGGTTCGGCTTTCGTAATAATTAGAAACTTCCAGCACGGGGCAGTAAACAAGTTGACAAGTGCAAATAAAAGCGGGCTAGTGGGCTGAAAGATATCATCGGGCTGTTGGGTGGGAAAAGGTCTATAAATAGCCTCGTGCCTGACTTTGACCTGTGCCCGGAAGTTTTCTTTTGTCCAGGATCCGGTTGGCCACAAGAGAGGAGGTTTCTCTTCCTTTTCTTTCCAGTCACGTTGAACAAGTTTTCCAGCATTTTGTAAAAGTTAATTCACAAAACAGCCCTTCTACAAAACATCGGTTAATAATGACTTGAAGAAACAAGAAGACTATGTACATTAAGTTGAAAAAATTCTATAAAAAATATATCGTAAATGAGGTGTGGAAAAATAAAATAAGGATGGTTTATTGCGGAGTTAAGAACTAATGCCTACCCTTATATTTAATAATTTATGTTATGGTTTCCCTACCTAAAAGGTAACTCCATTTCTAAACTAATATTTATTCAACGAACTCCCACTCCCATTCTCCCTAAAAATATTATAAAAATAGCTTCTTAATTAAATAAACATTTTAAATGACTTTTAATAATTTTATTTATAGAACTTCGACTTAGTAACTCAAAAAAGATTTATTAATGGGGATAAAATTCCCCAAGAAAATGTATGCGAAAAGTCTCCTAATAGCCTGCCAAACCCCTTGCTGATAAGTATGCTATAGTTCTGGGGAGCTACCATTTCCAGGAAAAGTGTGTGTGCGTGGGCCCAAAGAAAATTATTTCAAAATGCAAATTGAATTTGTGTGAGCCCGGTTGGTAGAAGGAGGCTAAGAGGACCATGGCAAGTGACGAACTTTGGAAATGCGCAACAGCGAAAGAAGCTTTGCCAGCCACCTCATAGCCACCCACGGAAAATGGCAACAAACTTGCCGCGCGCGACCTTCGCAAAGAGAGGAACACAGAGAGGCGTCGAGGTAAAAGTTCAAAAGCGTGCAATGCCAAGGCAAAAGCTCCCCAATGCCAGGGAAGTACAGTCAACCCAAGCGAAGCTTTCGCCCAAGCCACTCCCCTTAAGGGAGAGAGTCAACGTTCTCTTTGGTAGCTTTTCCAGGGGGTTGCCCCATCCATAATCGTACTGGAGGAGGCCTGTGAAAACTTTCCACTCACATTACATTACGCTCAAGGACTTTTCAGGCAAGGTTAGCGTAAAAGCTCAAAAGGACACAGAGAAAGATGAAAGGTGGGAGAGGGAGAAGAAAGGAGAGACAGAGATGGCGGCTGCAGGCGTCACAAAGCTTTTGCCTTGGCAACGGTGAAGTTCAAGGTTAAAGCCTCTCTTCTCTTTCTCCCATTCTCTGCTATTCTCTATCTCTCTTCCTGCCACCCACACACGCACACGTGGCTTACCCCCGGCCGCCGATATCTTTGCATACTTTGCGGCGCGTGGAGATGCTTATTGTTGAGGGCTGCTGGACCTTTCTTACGCACCTGCTGCCAGCCTGACATTTGACCTTGGACCTCCCAGTCCTTCTCCCTCTCTCCCCCTGCAGCCTTCTCCCTTGCTCTTGCAGGCCTCCTCCTGACTGTTGATTACATTGTGGCGCGTGACTTTGATTTGATTTTTAAATGATTCTTTTAGCAGCTTGACTCGGGCCCTCCGCCCAGCCCCTCTTGTCAGAGCCATCTCGCCCAGGTTTTGGCATCGTTAAAGGTCAACAAAAGGACGACGCTTTGGCTGCTTTTTATCACCGTCAAAAAAGGAAGAGAGCGTAAGAGCGGGGGGCACGTTGTGAATCTGGTGTGGAAAATGCCAACAAAGTTATATTCCTTTAATGCAATTAAGCCACGTGTCGTCGTCAAAGTTTGTTTTATTAACTTGTCTTCTTGGAACTAAGTGGCCGAGATTGGGGGAGAAGGTGGCAAGGCCATCAGAGAGCTCTCGACTTTATTGGCTTCAATTTGTAGTTGTATACTAACAGGTGAAAATCATTGGGAGAGGAACTGTTGAAGAGTCCTGTACATTAACACTTAAAGTTTTGATATGAACAGAAGATTTCTTAAAGATGGTTTACAAGTTGTTAAGGGGGGGGTAAGGTATTTAATTTTTTTTTTCGTAATTTTTTTTTTATTTTTTATTTTGAAAGTTCAACATTTTAAGAATATTGTGTCCAAGTTTTACATCGAGCATAGTAAAATTGACGAAGTTATGCGGAGTTGAACGAAGGTCGGTTGGTGTTCAATGCATGAGAATCACAAAGTTTAAAGCGCTCTCCTGAAAAATGCCATTTTGAAAATCGGTGTACACGATAACTCAAAATCTACTGATCCAATCGGTTTGAAATTTGGAACAAAACTATTTTAGATAAATCTACAGGTATTAACGTCGAGCTTTTTTTAATTTTTTATTTTATTATATTTTTTATTTAACAAATTAGCAAATTTTTTGAGTCAAAAATCGGGGTTTTGACTTCAAATGTTGATAAAAAATCGGCAAAAAATTTTAAAAATAAAAACTCTTCGTGAATACCTCGGGACACTTATCCTTTACCGAATGAGGTATAATTTTTGTAGATCGGATGATTTTGTGGACAGTTAGGATGTACACCGCAAACCAACTTTTTTTGGAGGCGACTCGGGAGATTCCCTATAACTCCTCTACCTCTAAATATTTTTTAATACCAAATTTATCAAAAACTATTCAAATGTCGTGTTATTATTTGGTGTTTAATTCATTAACTAAACTTTAGCCGTTTTGCCATAATAAATGTTTGAAAAGTGGCCCGTATTGCACCGAATTAACCTTACCCCCCCCTTAATGGAAGATTGTCACGTCTAGGAAGAGACTCCGTAAACCTACATGTATAGTCAAAACAATCAAATTTCTTTCATAAACATACATACATATATATATATTGTTTTTAAAAACAACTTAACTTTATTTATGTTTATTGTAATTTTGTTAGCTTCTTTCTTTTGAAATGTTTTAGTTTATATTTGTTTTGAATAATTTATGCATATTCAATATTCAAAACTCCACCCAGATTGCTCTGAAAATAAAAAATAATTAAATAATTAGAGTATATTAGTTATTAGTTTTTATATTAATCAGCTTACCTTATCCACCTTTCCGAAGTCAGGACCAACTATAAGTACAAATGGCTTATCCGACCTAGGGGGGGAATTCTGTAAAGCAGTTACAGCTTCCTTGACCATATCGCTGTTAACCTGGTCGCATTTGCGAATGTTAAGATGTCGCAATTTTTTGCATCCTTTTATCACCATAATGGCTCCTCGATTAGTTATATTTGAAAGATGCAAGTTTAACACCTCCAGGTTCTCCAATTGGCGTAGATCATACAAACAATCTTTGTAACCCACACGGAAGTCGAGTTTCTTAAGAGCCTTTAGATTCATTATTACCCCGATTGTATCATTTTTTATGAAAGAAACGATAATTCTAGAAATATCCAGTGACTCCAAGGTCTTGCCATAACTGAAGACCGATTCTCCAAAAACATCGGTGATTGTATTGTCGGAACCGAAGCTAACGGTTAAATGTTTTAGACTCGGCAGGTAAGGCAGCGGCGTGCGGAAGGTCGCATAACTAAGTTTAAGTAATTCAATTTTCGGCAACAATTGTTCGTCACCAAGATCTTTAGGCATACGGACAACAGCTGAATGTAACTCCAAGCTATCAATGTTCTTTAGTGATCTGATGACTCTGAAGAAATCAATGGGTTCTATTGAGTTCACTATAGCCAATTTCGTCAGATTCAAAAGTTCTCCAAATCTTTCCACTACAGAGGAATACAGTGTTGTGAAAAATTGATTTTATTTAACATTCTCGCCTTTATAATACTTACAATCGGGATAGTTGTCGGATAACTTAAAGTGTTTCAGCTTGGGCATTAGCAGCAGCGTATCAACCACACAAACATAACCAGAACCAGAAAGATATTCAGAACCATAATTCCAAATTTCTATGTCTGACAGATTTTGAAGTGTCAAAAACAGCGACTTGATTTGATTCCAGGAACTGCTGCAAACGGAAAAGCTAAACTTTTCCAGGTTGGGACAGTGCATGAAGGCCAGCTTGGCCGCAGACACGGTATACTTGATATCTTCAGCTGTGATGCTGGTAACAGAGGATCCACACAGCGACAAAATAGCTGACCAATCCTCGATTGTTTGTCTCTCAATTACGATTTCCTTAAAAGTATTGCCGGCGTGAAAGGCGAATGCCTTTCCAAGAACGCAATGAGATTTTGCCAGATTGAGCTTATCTCTCATATCCGGAATGTACTTGTAAACCATATCCAGAATCTCTATTGGAAGGTTTATTATATCACAATGGGATGACATTTTTTCTAGCTCTGGATCAAGCAAATTTGAAATGAACCCTTTAAAAGTTGCAGAATAACTAAATCAGTTTCCCAAAGCCTGCTGTCAGCAAATTTCATTGTGAACACTAGATCAGTGCAGTCACATTTTCATTTTGTAGCTAATTTAGAGACTTTTAGAATAAAAAAGCTATTTTTAGTCAAATATTCTTACCAATAAATACTAAAAAAAAAATGGTTTAGCGTTTTTCTCATATCTATTGTTTGTGTATGGTACGAGATAATTTCGGGGAAGTACACTTTTCAGACAAAATGATGTATTGCAGTATTTTTTGCTGGTGCGTGAAAAAGAAAAAGACTACATATGTATGTACATATGTATGTACATACATATATATGGGGTTTTTTTTTACGAAATAAATATATACATATGTAAATACATTTGTACATATGTATGCATTGAGAAAATCTTTTAAAAATTCGGTTTTGTAAACCTCTTTGTCCACAAAAAGATTGCAATTGTTGGGTAAATCATGAAATGTACAATACTTTTTTAAAATATAGTACATTAGTACAAGTTTAAAAAAAACCCCTAATCTTTCCCACTAAAAGTGCTTCTCCCCTAAATCTAGGGGGAATACCCCTAGTCTGGGATGACAAAGAGACACATTTTCATTTCGTAGCTAATTTATCTATTTTTCGATATAAAAAGCTACGTTTCCTTTTTCAACATTTTTGTTTTAGTTCCAATGTATCAATTTTGTGCTCAGTGTAAATGTTCAAAATCTCGTTTTGTTTTTGAAAACAGGCTGTTAAGATCAATTAAGATGTTAAATTAATTGCTAAAAATTAATAATAGATATACATATGTGTGTAAGTAAAATTGCAGAAAATTAACCCCATTAAATAATAAAAAAATCCCCTTTAATTTATGAAAAACAACTCCTTTACCAATTAATCCCCAAAGTTGCAAGCTATTTGTCATGCCACCACCTCACCGCACACCAAAACTCCCTGTAGAACAACTCCAACCATTCATTCAGCCAAGTTTTCCCAGAAAATTCCGTTAAGTTTCAATTAAAATCAAATAAATTGCCCAAGTTGGCCGCGTGACGTTGATAACCACAGGTGGAGGCGGGAAAATGGGTAGAAGAAATGCTTAAAAATAGTTTGCGCGCCGCGATGACCATGAGAAAGTTTTCCCAAAGCCGCCGGCCGGCTCAGAATTCCATTAGAAAACCCAGGGAGGAGATGATGTAAGACGGGGGCGCCAATGTGGTGGGCGGTGGGTGGCCGGCAGACTTGATGAGCAGCTCGAGTAGTGACCATGGGGACTTTGGGGACGACGACACCCACACGGCAAACACAAACATGGGTGGGCTTTTGGCTAATTTCTAGCCCATCGGAGAATGAAAACTAATTTTTTTATAACTATAAATATATAAATTATTCAATATATTTTTTAAATATTTTTCTTTACAAGTAATTTGCAGGTTTATTTCACATTTAGTTTGAATATTTATCTATAACTTTGTAGAACCCAAAAGCTGTCATCACTAAGCCCTCTCAGCTATAATGGCCATGGCCGTGACCGTGGCCGGTACGTCAATGCAGCGAGGTGTGCGACTTGGCAAGGTCACTGAGAATGCCGAGTGGGTGACTGTGGCGGGGGGGGTGGTGGTGCAGCAGTCCTTGCACTTGAACTTGCGCACGCGGCCATTGCATGTGCCCCTTTTGCCGGGTGGGGTTTTTGACCTTCAGCCGGTGAGCTTTTGCCAACGAGCTTATTTTTAGTAACAGATTCGTTTGGATAGAAACCCCAGCCAGGGGGGAGGGGGAGAGGGAGGTTCGCTGCACTGAAAGGTCATTCGTTTGCCGCTGGATGTTGTTCAAGGTCGTTGCTGCAGCCGGCAATCGTCGCAATCGTTGCCCCGCACAACGGTAATTGTCCAGCCCAACGCCCCTTTTTCGGGGTGGGAACATGGGCGTTGAGGGTGGGACAAGGGGCGTGAGTCTTGGGGCGTTGGGCGTTGACATTGACGCAAATTGCCGAGGGTCAAGTGCAGTCGAGCTCTGACTGCGTAATAAGAATGAATCAAATTAGTTAAGCGCCACTTCTGGGGGAAGAACTTGGGTGAACTTGGGGAAATTCCAATGCCCCTTAGGGTCAGCTGGAGGGGATTTGGGGTAATTTAAAGGCTTGGAGGTTAAGGAAAGGTTCTTTAAAAACCACGTTTAGTCTTACTTATTCTTAAGAGTTTCTAAAACTGATTTCTCAGATATTAAATATTTATTAAAAATTCCAAACCCACAGCTCTTGGCATTAAAATTCAAAAACCCATTTAAGGACTTATTTTTTGTTAGAAATTCAATTAGTTATAAGAATCCACAACATGCCCAAATTTATGATAATTTTTTATTTATAACTTGACATCCCCCCCATTCGCTGTTGTATTTATTTTTCAAGCTACTTATGACTTTTGAAAAGGCATTAAGTCTCAACAAAAGTAAAGCCCAAATGGGTTTCAATTGCTTCTTTGCCTTTTCAAGTCATGGAGATAAGGGTGTGAGTCAACCCCCTGGAAAAACCTCAACACATCCGTAACACATCTGGTTGCCCTAGACGACAGCAAAGCCTCTTTGCCAAGTCCCCTCTTCCCTGGAATAGAGTATGAAAAGTCGTTTCGTACAAAGTTTGCTCCTCTCTATGTGTCATATAGGCAAGGGGACTTAATCATCGGTCTGAAATTAATCAGAGGCAAACAAAAAGGCCACAAGGAATCACTCCCTGACGCTATACAAAGCTTATATGTATATAGTATGTGCACATTAACGAGTTCTTTGTACCGCATGGGCATATATTTAATATCAAATGATATGCAGAGAGCACAATTAAAAATGTTGACGCTCGTGTCAGGTCATAGACCGATGGAAAGACCATCGAGATTCCGATGGGACCCGGGCATTGTACTCTTTATATAGAAAGAAGGAGGAGGATGGAAGAGGGATCTCTGGTCAGAGGAAGTCGGCACTCGCGATCATGACGAAACAAAGTACTTAAACGACCTAATTAAGCGGTCAATGAGCGGTTCAAGGGTGCTGTATTCCAGATCCCTAGGGGAACCTTAATGCATGACACGATTCTTGGAACCTTCAAACTGATTAAAAAAAATATATAAAAAAGTTCTAAAGATAAATAATATATATTAATATTTATTAACTTCTTCAGAACTTCTTTTAATATATTTTATTATCATTTTTATTTCCTTTTCATTTAGAAAACACTCTTATAAAACTTTAGGTATTTATGTTGTTCCCTAACATTATATTTAATAAATTAATAATATTTTTTATACTAAAAATATATTCCAAAAATCTTAAAAGTCACATTTTTTAAGACATAATTAACATAAAATAAAAGCCTCTCTGAATCACGTCTGGCTCTCCTCCCTGGTAATGCATTTAATCATTGGTTCACTCACTCGATTCAAGGCAACATAAAAAAAATAAAAGAAAAAAATTATAAAAAACAGAATAAAGAATAAAGAGTTCCCGGGGACCAAAGCAAACTCTCAAGTGCAGCGGCGACAAAGAAATAAAGGGAATCTGGGAACAAAATATGGGGAATTGCAATGCCAGCGTCAGCGACAAAGTTCAGGGTCTGCCAGCTGCTCTGCTCCTTTGATTTTCCACGATCTTTCTTTTGTCTGTGCATCAGATTTCTTTAATTTATTTTTTATGTATTTTTTGAGGTTTTTTTTTGCTGCAGAGGAAGCGGCTAATAAGTGCAGAGCAAAAGACAAAAAGTCTGCCGGAAATACGTTGGCGATGCCGGCGACTCAATCAAGTTGTCCTTGATGGCTTAAAGTGCGTTAAGGACTTGTGGTCAGACCTCAGAACGCCTCTGTAATTTGAATCTGGTGTATATAGCTTTACGGAGGAATTTTAAAATTTAATTTACAGAGAAAATCTTAAATTTCAGAACACTTAAAAAGTCTTAAATGATAGTTTAAGCAAGCTTAGCATCATGATTTTGTATTAAAGGTTTTTAAATATCAAAAAACGTAACAATCTAGTTTTAAATTAATTCTAAAATAATTATAATAAATCAGAAAATCTTTAAAAACTTACTTCTTGACTTAAAATTAACTTAAAATTTAAAATAACCTAAGACATTTTTTAATATACCATTTTTCAAGCAATTTCTTTTGCAATCTCAGCGGTGAGACATGAGACACATGGCCTTGGCACGAATCGTGGAGGATACCATACCCTCCTTTCCCTCTGAAACTCCCCAAGAGCTCATCTCTGTGTCCTCTGGGGGGCATTCTTTTTTTTCGGGGATTGATTTACGACGGCTTTTGCGATGAGTTATGAAAACAACTCAGCATTTCAACAGCCTGAGTTCATTGCAAATGCGCTGCACGTTTCTCTGCCCGCAGAGAGATGGGAATTATGCTGGCAAATTACAGGGACAGACACGCCCAGATCGAAGACCAGAGAATGCAGATCGAAGAACTCCTCTTGGCTATGCAGATTGCAGTCGATGAACCCATCATCCCATCAGTTCCCATAAATAGAAATAGATTTCCAGGCAATTCCCCCAAGGAGTTGGTCCATTGACTTCCCCGAGGGTTCTGCCAGTCACACTTTGTTTACATGTCGGTTAGCCTGCAGATTTGTGTTTACTGCCGAGGGTTTTTCTTCTTTTTTTTTTGCCATTTCATCGGCTCCTTATCGGCCACTTGGCGGTTATAATAAAATAACAATAAACATGGCCAGCTTCCAGTCGGAGTTGTGTCAAGTCGTTGGGTGGAATGAACGGCATCAGTTTGTTGATCTCAACTGGAAGCCTAGCGCTGAGATAGCAAAAATCTGACCAGAAGATCAGACGGGAAATTAGACTTTTTATTACTTTATTTTGTTTGGGGGGATGAAAAAGATAAGGAAATTAATTAGTGTTGAAGAATCAAAGACTTTGGGGTAAGGGAGAGGAGATTAAAGGGATAGTTCCTATCTAGGGAGGTTGATCGGGGATTCCTGATTGTTTTAAGTAAACCTT